AGGCCAGGTGGTTGGGCTGCCTGAGCTGAGCTGAACTGGTGGGTGACCCAGAAAGGGACCCATTTGCCCCTCAATCTGGGTGGCTCCTAGGCTTCTTGCTCACTCAGGCAGCCCAGCAAGGAAGGGTGGGGATGTGGACACTCTGGGCCCTTGGCCAGAACGACTGAGGGCTACGTCAGCATCCAAATTCAAGGCTCCCCTGAGGCTGACTCCACCTAGCCACCCACCCAGGCTCTGGTGACGTCTGAATCCCCAACCCCCAATCATACCACTTCATTGTGCACCTCTGTGTCTCTGCACGTGCTGGTTCCTGTGCTGGAGTGCACCCACCCTCTCGCCACCCTGCCCCCCTTTTCTTGGCCTGGCAAACTCCTACTTACTACTCATCCTTCAAAGCCCACCTCAAAATGTCTCCTTCTCTGAGAACTCTTCATGTGCCACCTCCAGAGTGACTTAATAACCTCCGCCTGAGAACCAAGCTCCTTGTATGCCCGTTACTGAATCCCGGCTCTTCTCTCCCGTTGCCTCGTTCGCATCTTCACGGCCACTCTGGGTCCCCAGTGCCCGACACAGAGCTCAGCCTGGGACAGGCAGCAGCAAGCATGTGGGGGGACCTGCCACCAGGCAGGATGCGGACTGAGGCGCCCATTTCACCTCCTGCCTCCTCCTCAGAAACGTCCACTCTGCCCTGAGAGTCTCAAGGTCTCCAACGTGGCCAGACCACAAGGCCATAACACACTGGCAGCTTGGGCTCAGCTGAGGCCTTGGGAGCCGCAAGGACACCACACGCATCAGGTGGTCTACTGACACTGCCCTGGGCTGGGGTGTCTCTCCAAGGGACCTCCCCAGGGCTCCCTGAAATGGGGAGGCCAGGCGGGAAAGGCTGGAGATGAACAAGCCAATATCCAGCCGCTCCTGATGCAGATGAGAATGGGCCAAGAAAAGTGAAGAGTCTGGGCCCTGGGTGTCCAGCAGGAGCCCATCCCTCTGCCCGGTGGCTCTGCTGTCAGCACCAAGCAGTGGCTGGCTGTTTTTCCCAGTACCTGACCTCTTGGCCTGGGGCAGACGGGTTTTGTTCAAGCCTGTCTAAAGTCCTCTGGCCCAAGGCCAGGATCCCTTAGCCGCTGGGCCGGCATCCACTTTCTTTTACCCCCGACCTCCCCATCCCAGAGGAAGCCTCTACATATTGGGAGCCCCTGCACCGCAGCAGTGGCTGAGGGCCAGCTGCCCCTGCCCGGTGCCTGCTCTGGTCAGTGGGGAGGAAGAGACAAACAATGGGGACATAATGAGCTTGTTCTATGGGAACAAGGCTGTCACGGGAGAAGCCACCGCAGCTCAGGGACCTAGGGCATCATGAGGCCCCGGGTGAGTGGCTGGCGACAGCGAGTCTGCAGGAAAGAAACAAGGTGCACAAAAGAAACTGAGACCTTTCAGAACAATCCTGGAGGTCACTGAGGTGACCTCCTCATTCTGTTGATGGCATGCAGCCCAAAGGTCAGGGTCTTATCCACGGTCACAGAGGATCAGGCCCCTGGTCTGTCTCCTCCTACAGTGCTCCTCCCACAAGACCTGTGGTAGGCTGAATCGTACTCCCTCCACCCCCCCCACCCCACCCCACCCCACCCCACCCCCGGTAAGATGTCCACATTCTGATCCCTAGAACCTGTGAATGTTACTATACATGTCAAAAGGAACTTTGCAGATGTGATTAAGTTAAGGACTTTGAGATGGGGGATTATCCTGGGTTACCCAGCAGGCCCAATCACAAAGGACCTTATGAAAGGGAGGCAGGAGCGTGAGAGTCAGAAATAGCAATGTGATGACAGAGCAGAGAGGGAGACTGGAAGATGCTCCACTGGCTCTGAAGTTGGAGAAGAGGGCCCTGAGGGGCAGCAGAAAGCCTGGGCGGGGCGGGGGCCACTTTAAGACTGTGACGTCCTGGATATGTCCTTGATGACATGGGGAGGGGAACGGATCCTGTCTCCTTGGCTACAAGGACCACAGGGCACAGGAACTGGGGCTCTGGGCTTCGAACACAGAGGTTAACAGAGGCCAATACTAAATCAATAAATGTCGGGAACCTCCTTACAGGGCGGATGCTCAGATCTTGGGGGCCTCAGAAACAAAAACTTCAATGCCAAAGGCTGACTCCCTCCAGCTGCTTGCCACGAAGTTCAAGACAAAAGCTCAGAGACCACTGAGGTCCAGCTCATCCCAGCTAGATGTGTCAGGGCGGCCTGGAAATGGGGTGAGGGACTCCTGGCTCCTCACAGCCACGCAGAGAGAGAAAAAACGTGGGTTTAGACCTCTGCTAGCTAACGGCACCCTCTGCTAGATGACAGCTAGCTACATCATCTTCAGCAAGAGAGCTGACCTCTGTGAGGCTGTTTCCTCATTAAAAATAAAAATAAAAATAAAAACAATGAACGAAGTTACAGCGCCCACCTTGCAGAGTTGTTCCGAGAAGTAAATGAGACGGTATCTTAAAGATTACCACTGAAACAGGCACAGAGTAGGTACCAAAATATGGCCATTTCCCTCCCTTCTCTGGCCACAACAAGCCGGGTCCTCTGAGGGCCCTCGCCTTTGCCTTTCACACTGGGCACCTCTGATCACCAGTCTCTATAGACTAATCCCTACAAGGCCCTGCACCTTATAGTGACAGGAGACCCCCCCACCCCAGATCTCAACTCCATCAAATCACGTTACAGAGAGGAAGCGGCTCAGGGCACTCACTGGGAACTAGGGCTTGTCGCTGCCCACAGGCCAGCCGAGAGCAGCCCATCCTGACAGATGGCCCACCTGACTGTAGCCCTACACAGTGCCCTCAGCTCTCAGCACCCACTTGAGGTTCCCAGGGACTTCAGACTTTCTTTAACTGATGTCACCTTTGGGTCCTGCCTTCCCCCCAGTCAGGGCCCCCAAGGCAGGGCTGCCAAGGCGAGGCTAGAGCCTGCTCAAGCCCAGCCTCTCCCCACTGACCATCTTCCGCTTGGTGCAGAGGAAAGCGTGGCACTCAAGATTCTCGCTGTGCTGGCTCTGTGCGATGTATGCAAACACTTTGTCATGCATCTTGTCTGCTGTGCAGTAGGAGATTCTGAAAGGCAAGTGGCAAATGTCACCAGACTCCGGCACAGGGGCCTGACTGCATCCCGAAAGCCCCTTAGAGCATCTCCCCTGAGTTCCAGAAAGGCTGCCATCCCACTCCACCAGGGTGGGACTCTGGGCCTAGCATCCTGGGCCATCCATGGGGTGCGGGAGAGTGGGGAAACCCAGGCTAGGCAAGAAGGAGTGGTGGTAAAGACTGGAGGAAGGGCTTCCCTGGTGGCACAGTGGTTAAGAATCCGCCTGCCAATGCAGGGGACACGGGTTCGAGCCCTGGTCCGGGAAGATCCCACATGCTGCGGAGCAGCTAAGCCCGTGCGGCACAACAACTGAGCCTGCGCTCTAGAGCCCACGAGCCACAACTACTGAGCCCACGTGCCTAGAGCCCGTGCTCCGCAACAAGAGAAGCCACCGCCATGGGAAGCCCGTGCACCACAATGAAGAGTAGCCCCCACTCACTACAACTAGAGAAAGCCCACGTGCAGCAATGAAGACCCAACACAGCCAAAAATTAAAAAAATAAAAAAATAAAAAGACTGGAGGAAGGGCATATCCCCTCTCTACTGAGCCACATCCCTAAATAGTAGTAGGTGAGCCCTTACTGTACACCAGGCAACGTTCTGGATATCACCTCACTGAATTTTCAGAATTGCCCTCTGAGATGCGTTCTAGTACTATCCCCACTTTTCAGGTGAGAATACTAAGGCTAAGAGTCTCAGACCACCAGGCTAGTTTCCGGAGGCCATAACCACTGCTATGCTGCCTCTTAAGAGTTTGTGCTAACCAGCTGGAAAGGGGGGCAGGACACTACTCTGCCCACAATGCCCTTCACCTGAGTGTCCCCCACCTGCCCTCCCTTTGATCACACCCCTGCACACAGGCCCATCTCTCCCAGGGTGACTGAGACTAATGACAGCTTCTCTTGGAGCTGTGGCCAGGGGAAAAGGAGCTGGGAGTAGGGCGGGGGCCTAGGAGAGAGACACAGCAGCTCCCTCCTCTTGAAACACATTCTCCCCGCCTTGTCTGATCCCTCCCCGCTGTCTCCAGTCATCCTGGGAATCCCAATCAGAAGAGGAGCTGGCAGCCCAGAGGTGGGACAGAAGCTCAGCAGACGCCCTCACCTCATGCGGCCCCAGTTTCGATCACAGGCATTGACAAAGTGATCATCACCATTTAAAACCCCCAGGTGGGCAGAGGGAGGGGGTGCCAGGTTCCCAACTGCCTCTTCTCCAACCCAGGGGATCCAGCCTCCTGTCCTCAATGCCCTGGGTCTTCGGTATCAATCAACTAGATCCTGCTATTTTTCAAGCCCCAGCAAGGCGCCACCTCCCGTGAGAGGCCCTCCCAAGTTTCCCCAGGCAGGCCTCTCCTTCTCTGTCCTCTTGGGAAACACTTAATACTCTATCTCCCATGTCCTCTGCTCCATCCCCCCCTATACTAGAAGCTCCTTGAAGGCAGGGGCTGGGTCTGATTCCTCACCTGGCACAGACCTCAGCAGAGCAGGTACTTGGACACCAGCTAGAAACTCTAAAACCATGCCCTCAACACACATCCACCCTCCCACCGTCCCCCACCCCCAACCCCAGTACTGGCTTTGCTCCAGCCAGCTGAGCCACCTGCTCGGAGACAAGGCAAGAGAGTGCAGGGACGAGAGGCCTGACAGAACTCTGGCCTCGGTGTCCTGGGTGTAGCTCGGCCACTATCTCACCATGTGGCCTTGGGCAATTCCCTCTGTGGGTCTCAGCTACCCCACCTAGAAAATGGACCTGAGCTGCCGGTCTCTTCCAGCTCTGAAATTTTACAACTGACCAGCTAAGAGAGAGGCGGGGACAGCCTGAGGCTCCAAGGGCCGGGCCTGTTGCCCTGTGAATAGCACCCACCCTCTACAGAGATCATCTACACTCTGTCCTCAGACTCTGCCTGAGACCTCCCTGGACACCTGGCCAGATGTCCAGAGCTGAGCTGCTGCATTCCCAGCGAAAAAGGCAGTGACTGTGCAGCTCTCTGCTCCAAGCCTGACTCAGCAGCACACTTGAGGGGTGGGGTGGGGGGCAGGGGTGTCCCAGGCCGGCTGCAACTAGTGACAATGGCAGCAGCAACTGCCATTTAGCCACATGCTCATTGTGAGCCAGGCGCGGGGCATCCAGGGCTTCATAACCGCACACCGGGCAGGATCTGTCTCCAACCCAACACACAGATGAGGAAACTAAGGCCCCAAGGTCACCCAGATAGGAAGTGGTAGGGTCTGGATTCAGACAAAGCACTCCATCCACTGCCCCGAGCAGCAGACTGAATGTGGGCAATGCTGAGCGTACCTGTAAATGGACACGTTCTCAATGAGCTGGTTGGTGATGTTGTCGGTCAGGACGATCCCCCGTGGCGACACCTTGAGAGTCACCTTCTGCAGCTTCTTCCCACTGGCCTTGGCCTTGGGGCAGACGTGGGTCAGAGGAGCCTACCTACCCACCTGGGACCCACCCTCGTGGGCTACACCCAGCTGCTCTAAGCCCCAGACACGAGGCCCACGGGAGGCCTCACCTTAGGTGACTGGCAGACATGACGCGGAAGACAATTCAGCCAACACCTTCTTCTAATAAAAATAGGGACAAGTGTCTCTCACTGAGTACCTGTTGTCTGCCAAGCACGGGACCTCAAGTCATCCTCACAGGCGGCAGGGATTTGCCTCAGGAGAAACCGGACTCAGAGGGGTTAAGGGAGTTGCCCAAGGACACACAGCTAGGAGGGACCTCAGACTTTGAGGGCTGAACGCGCTATCACAGCCCAGCAGGATGGGGACTCCACGCTCCACCCACTGTACCTGCCAGGGCCTGAGCAGAGGGGGCTGAGACCACCAAGAGAGGTGGACTCATAGGGCACGTGCTCACTCAGAGCTGGGGAGGAAATCCAGTCCCTCAAGCCACAGGGCAAGTGGCTGGGTGCCAGCAACCCTCCCACTATCCCTCCCTGGCACGAAGTTACCAACCCTAGGCTGGTGGCCTGAGCTGAGGGAAGGGAGGCTTAGAGAGGCCACGGCCATAGCAGCTGGAGAGGAGGACACTGGCCGGACCCTGCCAGCCCAACGGCTGCCCTCTCGACTCTCTAAGCTGGACGCAGGGGGACACAGGGGCAGGGCAGCTGCAACACATTCAGTCAGGGTGATATGCAGGGGATGAGTGCTGTACCCCCAAGCCCCAGAAGGAGCTACCCCTTCCTTGTGCTCCCACACCCCACCCTGACTGGGCTCACCGTGGCCACGATCCTCTTGACGGCGGCGGCCGACAGCTCCTCACCCTTGGGCTGCTCCACCAGCGTCATGCCCAGGTACTTGAGGCTGAAGAGCATGCCCTCGAGCAGTGTCTCCCGAGTGTCTGTCCAGTTCTCGGGCAGCTCTGGGCAGAGGAGGATAGGCGCTCAGACCCCGCTGGGCAGGGCCCACCACAGCGACGGCGTCTGCAGCCCCTGTCTCCTAGGAAGACCCAGCAGGGACACTGGGGTCCCCCCATCTATCATTACTTTTATCTTTAATAAAGGAATAACATTTTCTAGTACGTACCAGGCACCATGGTAGGAAGCGTTACATAAAATCTTCTCATTGACCCTCATGAGGACCTATGAGGTAGACACTTTTATCATACCCATTTACAGACAAAGACACTGGGGCCCAGGGAGGCGAAATCACATGACCAAGTCCACAGAGCCAGCAAGTGCAATAGCCAAGAATCAAACTCTTATTTTCAAGTCCGAAGCCCAAACTCTTAACTTCAACACTAACACTTGCTGAGGGCAAACCATGCCATTTTCTTATTGAATCTTCAACACAATCCGGTGAGATGGGTATTATTCCCACTTTACGGATTAGGAAACTGAGGCTCAGAGAGGTGAAGTCGTCAGACAAAGGCCACATACAATGAGTAAAGGGCTGGAGTCAGAATTCAAAACTGGGTGGTTCCCATGGCCCCAGCCTGGCCTGCTTTCCTCCATCTGCACAGCCACAGAGACCAAAAGGTAGGGAGGAGGGGGACCAGGAAAGAGACAGCAGCCCAAGGAGGGTGGGCGTGGGGTAAGGCTTAGTGGGGAAAGAGGGAGGCGACTGCTCAAAAAACATCATATGAAGGCCACTGAATCTGGAAGACCTGGGTTCAAATCCCAGCTCTGCTTCCCCCCACCTGCATGGTCTTGGGGAAGGCCCCTCTCCTCTTTGAGACTAATAATGCCTGGGCTACAGCAATGGCACACAACAGGACACATGGGAAGGATCCTCTGAAAGCTCTGATCACGACTGAGGTCAGGAAGGTTGGGAAATGAGGGGATGAGCCTGGCTCACTGGGTGGTGAAACAGACCAGGAGGGAGAGTTGGAAAGAGGCCTCCATTTCACCCCACCCACGTGAGAGAGGGCCCTGAGCAGGCAGAAGGACAGGAGGGGAAGTGTGGTCTTCACTGTGGGAGGGGTCATACAAGAGTTCACAGGAGTACCTCGTCTCCCAAACTGAGGCCCAGGTGAGGAGGAATTTGTTAATCTGTCATCCAGATCCTGGCATGCAGCTGGC